GTAGTATAGTCCTGTAATTCGATGAATAGCTTGGCAATGATGGTGAAAAAATTAGAAAAGGTTTCAATTCCCTGAAAATATTACACCAAATCTTTGATTTTATACACCCAACTGTCCGTTGTAATAAGGGTACAAGTTCATAATGACGCTAGGATTGTTTTCATAGATCTCTATGTGATTTTGGTCGCTGATTTGGCATGGATGTTTTAACAAAAATCGCTTTCCAACCTCAATAATAAAAACTTACTTGGTAATGATGCACCTTTAACCGCTTTGACAAACTATAACTCGGACACTGTTACTAATTCTGAAAATGCACGCGACTCAAACGTGACTCAACCGTGAAACATTTTCTGCACTAAACAAGCAGGCTTCGGAAAAACAATGATTTTTCAAATCTGACAGGTATAAAGTACTATTTCTTCAATGAATATCAATGACTCGTCAGTCATTGATATTCATCGAGTAATTTGATGAGGAGAGAGATGGGAAGGTCAATTAAAATCTGAAACCAACATTTATATTAAATGCCATGTCAAAAAAGGTGGCGTGTTGAGATCTATAAAGTCAACATTCCCCGAAACTACAAAGACAAACTAAATTGGTTAAGACTGCCCAAAAACTAACTGCATGCGTCTAAATACAAAATCAATTCACACCTCTTCTATCAGTTGACATGTACTCGCTCCTTAAATGTCATCATCAGTTGAATTCTTTTTTTTCATTATTCTTATCAATTTTGAAGTACATGTAAATGGGGTTTGAAGCCAATAAATCTGATCTAGAACCTAAGAATCGGCTTTTTTTTGTCATCTAGTTAAAAAATTTAAACTAATTGTAGAATCCAGCTGTTTCTATAAATAAATGAGAGTCATACCTCCCGCCACTTCAATCCAGAAAGTTGAGTTCTTACTCCCTTCGCTGTTTTTGGCGCTGCATGTGTATTGACCAGCATCTTCATATTTCACTCGATCAATGGTGAGCGTGTTTTCACTACTAAGGTTCACCCCGTCCTTAGTCCAGAGTACCTCAGGTGTAGGGAAACCTCTTAAAGAGCATTTTAACCGAAGGGGTGAGTTATATAAAAATGACTGGTTCTTTAGCTGAGGATTCATTTCAGGAGGACCTAGCCATGGAATAAATGAGCAGAATTCAAAAATGGTAATAATAAGAAAAGAAAAAACAGAAAACGAGGAGAGCAACTGCATAAAAAAGAGTAAATTAATATTTACCTGTAACTATAATCTCAAAAGCTGCTTTACTTTTCCCTTCGCTGTTTACAGCGCTGCAAGCGTATTGACCAG